TTCAGAACACGAACGATCCATGACGATCCTTCGCGATGCAGTCAGTGGTCTTATGAAATAAGGAAACGTACTCGTGCTATAGGAACACACTCGGATTTCGGACGAATAAATCTTCCTTGTATTTTGTAGATAACAATACTTTGTTTCATAATAAACAATTTGTCAAGTGTCATTTATTTACTGGTAATAGTGCATGTTTCAGTCGGGCAAATCTTGATTAATATTTGATACCCCGTTTTTTGCATATTTCAGACACATCCAGAAATATGCTCCCGATTTTAATCATTAATATCTCCGCGAATTTTTAAGTGAAATACGAATGTAATATATCAAAATCTAAGTTAGGGCTTCCTCTATTTGATGCAAGTTATTTCTCTTTAAAAGCTTTACTTGTTTCGAAGTTATTACGAATCAAACCGGAGTACTTTTTTTTGGGACACCCGGTACATATTCAAAATATATAGACAACTCAGAGATTGGGCCGCTGTGCATCGACCACAGTAAAGCCAATGGCAATGCCAATCACAATTCAAGCTGTTTATCAAATTTATATTTATTATTTGGTGTCTATTATTGACTATTGTCTATAAATATAACTGATATCAGTGAAAAAGGCTCAGTCTCTGTGGCTGAGTATATACGGTATAATTAGTACGTAGACACTGTATGGATCGGATAGTTTACAAACTGTTTAACTATTATTAATAACTACCTTAGTTTGATTTGGTATGATTCGACTTGATTCATCCAATTTGATTTGCTTGTTAAGTGATTGAATTTGTGATTAGGTGTTGATTTAGTACACGGCTATTGCGTAAGACATTAATGAATAGGAAGTCAGTATTGTTGAGACACTGTACGAGACAGCGAGCTGTGATAAGCCTAAGTGTTATTCAGTCCGTACAGATTCACTCTTCAGGTGATGCAAATTGTATTTTATATTTTTGATCTTTGATATTGTGTAATCCTTTAATCATTATCCAATCATAGTCTAATTGATTTCAGAAGGTATGTATTAAAATAATATATTACGAAAAATTTCTACTGGATTGTGTGTGGTATTGCCCAAACGGAAACACTGTACTTGTTATTCCTTTGAGTAGCTGGCTGTTGTGGTATTATTTTACCGTGGTTTTGATAACAGAGAGGTATGATACTTCGACATATTTCTTGATCGTTGAATTTCAGTGAAGCCAATTATACAGGAAATTACACACCACGCGGTCTTTAATATTGTTGCAATCTGGAAATATATTATCTTACATGCATGTTTACCGCGACGTGTGACTTGTCCGTACGGCGTAGTATATTTTGTATGGAAGTGTATAAACTATAGACCACCGTCTTAATATTGAACGCCTTGAAGTTGTTTAACCTCCTTTATTCGCATGGTCGGCATATCAGGCGAGGAAGTTCATCGTCAGAAGAAGGTTTGCAACGGTAGATTGTTTCGGACATGACAAGCAATTGGTAATTGGCTTTGCTGTACAAGTTCTTTCAGTACTTGGCTTCGCAAACGCTTCCACAAAGCGATCGACATGTATTAGACAGCACACTATAGGATTTTTATACCTTTTAGGAGTTTCTTTCACATTAGCGCTCGAGGTTACTTATATAATATCGTTTTGGTAGCGATAAGTGTGCTGATAGACGTGCCTTTGCTTTTGTCTATTTTTTACATTTGACAACATTGGCAATATTTCCCTTGCCACTCCTCCCTGAGTGTTTTTAAAACGCTAATTGAAACACCTCAGATTTGGAGTGTCACGTGACCAGCCCCAATCTGGGTCTTTCCACAGCGGGATGGCGTGCAAAGGTAGGATCCTGGCTACGAGGTTGATTAGCATGAAGTATTCGGAAATGGACATTTAGTTTGCTACCGATAAATCATGCATTCTTATAATTTCAAGGCCAACCCCATCCAGATGAATTTTAATTTTTAAAAAGTTTATTTTTTATATTCCGAATAAGCTATTTTGCTGATTTTAATTAAAATTTGTCAGCTATGCAGCATATTCAATTCCGTGATTTTGCTGATACAAACTCTAAAGAAAATGTTCGAATTAAATTTCAAGCTATATGTGCAATCTTTTTTTAATTCTAGGTCTGAGTCAGAGATAAGAAATCAAGCAGGGCAGGCCTTATCAGAGTGAACGCAATTCAAAACATATGAACAGTCAAGAAGCTCACAAGGAAAAGTAATGATAAACGCCAATAATAGTACATATCCGAGTAAACCTTCAGATCCCGAGCTGCAATGGTATTTTCTTGGTTTCATTGTAATCTTAGTAATTGCATGTATAGTTTGCAACAGTATTATTGTAGCCGTTTTTATTGTCGAGAAGTCAATACGAAACAACGCGAACATGTTCGTCGTAAGTCTTGCATGTGCAGATCTTGTCGTTGGAATGGTATCAATGCCTTTATGGATAGCAAATTCAAGTCCTGGCCTTGAACTAAATTATTATCACACTAGTATCGACATCGTATGCTGTTCCGCATCGATCTTTAACTGTGCCTTTCTGAGCATAGAAAGATTATTGAACATCGGTTCTCCTTATTGGTATACAAATAACGTGACTGCCTTTAGGTTAAAAATCGTCATCCTACTCGGGTGGATCGCAGCCGTCTTAATTGGAAGTATGTCTTTATTAAGAGGAACAAATTCGAACAATCTCCCTTACATTATCTTTATATCCATCTTCATTTATATTCTGCCTGTCTTAACCATCCTTATTTCTTATATAAGTATATTCGTCGTAGCACACAGGCATGCAAAGAGTATCCGCAAGCAAGAGCGTCGAATTGACGGCGGTATGACAAGTACGAGAATATCAGAGGCTAAAACTGCCTGGCGGCTCAGTGTTTTCATCATCGTGTTTATAATATGTTGGACTCCATTTTTGGTCAGAACATGGGGGCCTCTGATTTCAACAAACGGCCCTCCTCTTTATTTCATTATATTGGCAAACACATTGCCGAACTTTAATGCGGTAATCAATCCATTTTTGTACGCTCTTTTCAATCCACCAATCAGAAGAGGAATGATTAAATTCTACAAGAAAAAAAGAAGAGCCCGCCAGAAAATAGTATCCATTCGAAGAAAGAATATTTCGACTGCTCTGGCAAGTCTTAATAACAGTCCGTCCATGAGCAGAGCTTTATCAACGCAGTTGTTTCCACAAGAGAGACGTAAACTGCATTCTGCAGACTTGAGGAAAGAACACATAGAGACCCATAAAATTCTGCTTTCTCCACCACATGCTGAGCATGGACACGCTAATAATGAAGAGATGTATAGTCCAAACAATTACGAAACTAGCTTGTAAAATGACACATGTATTTATGGTTGCTGAATCAAAAGTTAAGTCAGAACTATGGGATATTCAGTGATTTTCTGTTTTCCTCTTGTATCCAGTTTTACAAAAAGTATAAGTTCACCGGAACAAAACAGGTACGAGACTAACACTGTCGCCCTATATGGACATTTTATTAACACCGCTGAAAAATACATAGAGGATATTAGTCGGTTGCGAAGAGATATTGGTTTTACGTTCGATATCTCACGAGTGAGCGCAGCGAACGAGTGAGATATTGTTTTTGACACGAGAACATCAATCCATATCTTCTCGCAACCGTTTAATGTTTTGTTTATTATATGGAGTAATTCGATAAGAGTGACAAAAATACACACAAAAACGACATGTAAATGAGCACGCGAAAGACCAGTGTAAAAGCGATAGTGCAAACATAAAACTAGAATAAATTTTACTTATCTCATTTAAAATGTTTTCGTTTTATTTCCAATGTTTAATTCGTGTTAAATACGAACCAACGACCTTTTTTATTTTCAAAACAACAACAATGAAAATGGCGGGAATTTTTCGAACTTCGTAGTCGTATGTCAATCGGAGAGGTGAAATACGGAAAATACGCGTACCTGGTCTACGAGTATTTGAGTTCTACGAGTATTTTAGTTTCCAGTAAAACACCATTGTCCATATAATAAAATACAATTAGAACACCGTGCAAAACGCAAGAAAATCAGTGGCATCAGTGGCAAGAACTTCAGAATATACAACAAAATTATAGGAATATATAAAGATATTGCACGACGGTCGACGGCGCAAAGATGTGACTTTGATCTTCGAGAGGTGAAAACATTATTTAACGAACGAGCGCAGCAAGTGAGTAAAATATTGTTTTTGACACAAGAATCTCAAAATCGTGATAAAAAAATGAGAAAATCAAAAAAGCTAATTGGATAAGTCACGTGATGGGTATCATCGCTAGTGAAGATATGGAAAATATCTCGCTGTGTATTTTTCAGTATCTCACTTTCTACTATTTAATAATAATAACTTACTGACCGAGGTCTTGCTGTATTGACCGAACGATAGCGAGGTCAATACTGCAAGACCGAGGTTGGATATTTTCCCATACTGCCCGAACGGTTGAGGTCAGTAAGTTTTTTTATTATGATGGCATTGTATACGTTTGTAAAAAAATGGGGAAAAGATCACGCGAGGGCAAAGGTCAAAGTCCGAAACATTTGAAAAAAAAACAATTGTAAAAAATGTTCTCTTTGTTAGTAAAACCTCTCTACAGCACTTTTTATTAAGAATGCTGACACAGTTTGGACAGTATTTCAAGAAAATTACGAGGTATTTCGTCATTTAATCAAAGACAACAAATATGAAAACTGTTAGAATATGCTCCTGATATTCTGTTGACAATGACAATAAGATTATTAGTTAATGAATGACATTGATTACTATAGATATGTATGTAAAATGTAATCTCTGGATACCACAAATTCCAGTACAAATAGTTGCTCCATGTACCAAACTGTATACCATTTATGGTAATAGAATGTGATATGTCAAAATACTTATTATAGATATAATCTTGTATATATATATGTGTGATTTTTATTATTAAATACTTTCTTTTGTAAAACTCCAAAGTTGTATGTTGTGCTTCGTATTCGAGAAAGAGCGATGGCAACGGTACAAAACCCAACAGGTTATGGGCCCAGGAGAGGCTTGATTTTTGATGGAGACGAGAACAAGTATGAATTATGGGAGGTAAAGTTTTTGGGATATATGCGACTCCAAAAACTTTACAATATATTCATTCCTAGCAGTAGCGAAAGAGAGCTAGATGAGGCAAAGAACGCAGATGCCTTTGCCGAATTAGTGCAATGTCTAGATGACAGGAGCTTGACCCTGGTCATACGAGAGGCGAAAGACAATGGAAGAAAAGCCCTGACGGTTCTGAGAGAACATTATCAAGGCAAGGGAAAGCCCAGAATAATCTCGCTGTACACGGAATTACCGTCGTTGAAGGCAGAAAATGAGATAATTACGGACTACATCATACGGGCAGAAACTGCCGCGACCGCATTGAAGGCTGCCGAGGAAGTAATCAGTGATGGACTTCTGATTGCCATGGTACTCAAGGGTCTACCAAACGCGTATAAATTAAAACATTTTCTACGGTGGTTATTCAACGAGAAAACCAGATGAATTTCGGTGACTTCAAAATCGCATTGCGTAACCACGAAGAGAACGAGAAGTGCTGCAGACCGGCGGAGAATGGCGACAACGTAATGTACGTGAAGAAGAAATTTGAAGGAAAGTGTTTTAAGTGTGACAAGAAAGGACATAAAAGTTCCGATTGCTGGATGAAAGCTGAAATATGGTGCAACAAGTGCAAGAGCAAGACACACAATATCAAGGATTGCAGAGCAAGAAGAGACGGTGTAAAGATGGCCGCTGAAACCGGCGAAGAGAACGCTAAAATACATTCATTTGCATTTACACTTAAGGAAAATAATTCTAATGGAGGTAAGACCTCAAATCTACTAGTAGATACAGGGGCAACAAGTCATATAATTAATGATAAATCTAAATTTGTAAATTGTGATGAGAATTTCGACCCAAGTAATCATGTAATAGAGTTAGCTGACGGAAGTAAAGCTAATGTTGTTTTAGGTAAAGGTAACGCTAAAGTTAAATTGTACGATATTAATGGTAATTTACAAGATGTAATGCTTAGTAACGCGCTGTATATTCCGTCTTATCAGCAAAATATTTTCTCCGTTCCTGCTGCAATAGAGAAGGGGGCTGCTGTTAGCTTAGATAGGCAAGTTAGAGAGTACAGGGACCCCGAGGGAACAGTGTTTGGTATCGAACAGGTAGGTAAATTATATTACTTAAATAGTATATCATCTTCTCAAAATAACGCATCGTCCCTAATGGAATGGCACAAGATATTAGGGCATTGTAATTATAATGATGTGCGCAAACTTGAGAGCGTGGTTAAAGGTATGAAGATATTATAGTAGATGACAAAAAAATCCTTTGTGAGGTATGTACACAGGGTAAAATGTGCCAACATCGAAGTCGAGAGCCAAATCAAAGGGCAAAAAAGTCCTCTTGAGTTCGTACACTGTGATTTAGCTGGTCCAATTGAGCCAGCAGCGAAGGATGGTTTTAAATATGCCTTACCTTTTGTCGATGATTTCACTGGTACTAACTTAATATATTTTCTTAAACAGAAGAGCGACACAGTGGAAGCTACTGAAATGTTTTTGGCTGATATTGCACCCTTTGGAAAGGTAAAACGCATTAGAAGCGACAATGGTACGGAATTTACCAGCCGGAAATTTAAATCACTACTGCGTCAAAATTCAATTAAACATGAAACCAGTGCGCCATATTCCCCACACCAAAATGGCACTGTAGAGAGAGCGTGGCGGAGTTTATTTAGCATGG